TGATCTCTGGGTGCTGTTGCAGGCAGTTTGAGGAGCGGCACATGGGGCAGATCAAGACGGTTTATCCCACCTCGTACAAGCTGCGCCAGGAGAAGAACATCCCCGCCTTTGGCATGAAGAAGTCTGACTATCAGCTCACACTGGAACCGGTGCTGGAGGAAGGTTTGTATGGCTCAGGGGGGACCCTGAGAGCTGGGATGTGCTCGGTCCAGTCTGTGATCCCTGAATGCCCAGGGGTGCTCACTGTTGAGCTATACCAGACACATAAGGGCCTGGGGAAAACACTATGGGGACAAGTGGGAGGGTGACAGGGCAGGGATTCTGGCAGTGACTCAGCCCCATGGTGGGCTCTGATGGTGTCCTTCCCGAGGTTTGGGCCTGGCCTTGCTTTGCTGAGGTGCTGGGGATGATGATTCTGTCTCTCCATGCAGAGGAGAAGGTGAATGGACGCCCGCACTTGTCGGCATCGCGCCTGCTGGAGCGCAGGAAGGAGTTCAACCGCAACCTGGTGAACATCGTCAAGCAGCACCACAAGGTGAGGCCCTCCCCAGCACCCTCCACTTTTGGGGTCTGGGGTTGCTCTGGTCACTAGGGTGGAAGGAGCAGGCTGGTATCCAGGCTGAAGGATATCACTGGTTCCTATGGGATGTTGTTCTCATGAAGGTGTGGATGGGGAGGATGGCAGATGGAATCTGTCCTGGCGCTGAGTTTCCTCCAACCCATGGTGTTGCCAGTTTTGCTGGGAACAGGAGGCAATGTCCAGCTCCCCCATACCTCACCTGTAGGTGCCATGACACGACTGTTGCCCCTCTCCAGGCATTACTGGCTGCCCTCAGCCCGCCCATGGTGGTGCCGGAGGAGAAGCTGACTCGCTGGCATCCCCGCTTCAATGTGGACGAGGTGCCGGACATCACCCCAGCAGAGCTGCCGCAGCCACCGCAGGAGGACAGGCTCACCACGGCCCAGGAGGTGCTGAGCAGGGCTCGGGGGATGCTGAGCCCTAAGGTGAGTCAGGACCAGGGTCTGGCTGTGTCTGTGGACCTCAATCCAGCCATCTCTTTGTTACTGGATAGGGGTTGAGGAGGATCACTTCTGAGCCACAGGACTGGGAGCACTGTAAGATGCATGTGGGTGGGAGCACAAGCCTGGCTGTTACTGCTGCAGGATGAGGTGTAGGACTGGTTTTGGGCTGGAGGAGCTGTCAGTATTGACTTTGGGGCTGAGAGAGGAGGTGAAGCATCCCAGACTATCCTCTGCACCAGCAGGGATGGGTCGGGACCGCTGGGATGGGAGCACTGGGCTGCAGAGTCCACGGGGGTGTTGGAGGGGAAACTTCTTCCTGCAGCGTGATCAGTTCCCAGCTGTAACCCAGCTCCTCCTCCCTCTTCTCTTCCACATGAGCAGATGGAAAAAGCTCTTGCCAACCTGGCCTTAAGAACCGCTGAAGCGGGAGAGGGGGAACCAGTGGTTTCCAAAGCACCGGCCCCTGCCAGCACCTCCAGTGCTCTCAAAGGGGTGTCCCAGGACCTGCTCGAGAGGGTGAGTAATTCAGTCCTGGCCCTAACGCCGGTGCCGGGGTGGGGTGGGGGGGTCCTGCTCATGTCTCACCCCATCTCCCATCCCCAAGATCCGTGCGAAGGAGGCGCAGAAGCTGCAGGCGCTGATGACGCGGGATGCGCAGCAGGAGCGGCGGATCCGGATGCTGCAGCGGC